CCATGTATGTATCACAACGTCACATTATGGCATGTATAAGGTGGCTAATTAATAGTCTATCATCTCACATATATTGACATTTTTGTTTTGTTTCTGTCATGAGAATATGTAAAATCACAAGAATAGATGTTACATGTACATCAAATAGAAACAGAAAACCATGTTAGATGATGAATATGTTATATCATATGACAGACATGTTGACTAGCTTGACAGTAGTAATCATTTCACAATGTTTGTGTAATTAAAAGTTCATAATATACACTGCCAACATGTACAAATTTTGTCAAATGTGCTTCCATCTTGAAAATGATTAATTGAAACGCATGCTGCATATTATTGTTTCTTTGCCAACTAAATAAGAGTAGCAACAAAGCTAATAGGGCAGGAGTGTTCAGTAACAAAGGAGACAAAGGAGCCCCAGGTAATGATCATCACCTGGGGGACACTATGGTTTCAATCCCTTTCCTGCTTGGTACTCATAACTGTAAGCATCAAACTGCAGCCACTGCCATTCCAGGAATGACAGAGGTCATTCTGTACAGATGAAGAAGAACAGGATTAGCTCAAGCAGGCCTGAAGAAAAGCTACCTGGTTAAAAAGACAAGAGAGGGAAGCTGGGGTATATTTACTGAGTGGCTCTCTTTCAGTTCCCACCTTACCACCATCTGAACACAGTTTAAGAATTTTTTTCTTGTGTTAAATTTACCCTTTGTGCTCTGATTTTGTAAATGAATTTATGATCTGTTAAAGATAAACTGACATTTTGGGGGGGTTCTGTAAAACTCTTTTACTTCCATAGACATATCCTTCCTTAGGTTGAGGAAGTTTTCTTCTATGATTGTGTTTAATACGTTTTCTGTACGATATACTGATATTTTTCTTTGAGGTCTAACAAAATTTTACCACAGCAACGTTTGAGGTACAGTATCTTTCACATGGTAGGACCATGACCCAAGACATATTGCTTATAGCAAAACCAATTAGGGACCATCAAGAAGGCTCAGCAGGTGAAGGCAGGAGCTGCCAAGGACAGAAGGAACAGACCAACCTCAGCAAGCTGTCCCCTAACATGGCATACACACTCTGACACATGTGTGTATATATGTAATATAACAGTAAGATATAAATATAAACAGTAAGATAAATGAATATGTTATGTGTACAAGTCTTTATTTCAGTAAATCTTAAAGTTAAGCTTCCAGTTCTACTTTGCAACGCCTATTCATGTTCCTGTAAATAGGACTGAAAGCTAAGAAAGTGTCCATTGCTCAGTTTGACTACAGATGAATTTTTCCAGAAGTTGTGAGTAGATTCCTAAATACACTTCTACAGTTTCATCCCTGAAAAATTACACAAAAGAGCTTTAATGATGAGGCACATATCTGATGCCAAGGAGCTCCCAAAGACGTTCTTGGGGCTTTAAAAGCTCCAGTGAACTCACTTCCATCATCAAGCTGATATGCCAGCTTGACTAAATAAGACAGCTTTCTCCATTTAGACCTCCATCTCACAGGAGGAGGGATCAGCATATACTTTCTTTCAAGTTTTGCTTTGCAGTAAGTTTGAAAGGAAACAAATGGAGAAAGATGATTAATTCACAGTTCTTGTCCCCTGCAGTTCTGAAATGTCTGACCAATTATGATTCCAATAACCCAAATCTAACTGGACCCAGACAGATGACTCTTATTTTAGCCAGACCTTATAATACAAATCTGAATCGTTTAAAATGAGTGTAGGGAAAATGAGAAAATGAAAAAGAAAAACAAAAACAAAAAAATAATGTTGACTGAACAGAACTGATGATGAAGTGATAACAATGCCACAATGTAGCACCATAATCCATGCAAAATGAGAGAAATAAATGGATATGATGAAATCCATAGAAGAAAACAAAGGAATATTTTATTTACTTTAAAGAACATTTGGGCATGCTTCAGATCAGACTAACTCTTAATGATTTTCTTTTTCTGATTATCTTGTCACGCCATTATTTTGTAGTTTCCTAAATGACCATTACTGAATAATTATGAAGCAACAGGTTGACTTAGTTTTTCATAGGATTCTTGAATATTTCAGACATTTTCACATAACCACACCAAGACATACTAGGATCACAACACAGAAACACATGTGTCAGGGGCAGCAGGATTGAGAATGTTTTCCACTTTGGAAAATCACAACCACCATGGTTTCTGTCCTCCCTAAGACATCATTATTACTTTCATATGATTTATGGCTGAAAAGTATGAGGGATAGTACAAAGATCCTCTGCCAAATTCCCATATGGCATATAACATAAGCCAAACTGTGAAAAACTCATAAATGTGGGCAGATCAGTTTCATCAAAGAAAGGATTAAGAGGGTTCCAGGGACCCAACAGGAAACTCGCCAGATACTTTTTACAGTCATGTAATTCCAAAGGAACAATAATGACTACAGCTCTGCCCTGGATGCAGTCCTTGAGTTAAATGTTAAGGTCCAGAGCAAGAACTGGGCAGAGGCGATGTGAAGTACTATCAATCTGCCCTGATCAGTTTCGGTACATCTACCATCTCTTTTTCTTTTTGGACAAACACTAAAATCACTATCATTTTTAATGCTTTCACAAGAGATAGCTGTTACTTGGAACCATAAATAATGAAGTTACTTGAATACCTTATAAATATCATAAAAAATTCACTTTGAAAATATAGAAAAATGTTTTCCCTAAAATCAATAAACAAGCATTTCTTATATCACACATGTTTTTACATAAATTTCTATGATACTGAATGTTCAGACACATTTCCTGAATTTGGACATGAATTATGTACAAAATAAACAAGGAAGGATTAAAGTTAACTTGCTCTAAAAGAAGAGCTAAAGCAAATGTGAAGAATGGAATTGTAAACAAAAATCCAGAGAAGAACTAAGAGCATATTACCTGAAGAGAAAGACATTAAAGAGCATGTAGAAGAAAAGCAAGTATCTCCTGTCACAGTGTCTGGGCAGTGAAAAGCCCTTGCTGCATAAGCCTGACAAACTAGAACCCAGGAACCTGCACTGGAAGGAGACACTTTAAGTACCTCTGACCTGTACACATGTACTATGAGTCACACTCACATACATGTGTGTGTGCGCACACACACACACACTACAGGCACACATACCATACACACATATCCCCCCATATTGCATACCACATACATATATCCCCCAACACTCATACCACACACACAGATACACACACACACACACACACACACACACACACAGAATTTTGTATTATTATTATATGTAAATCAGTGATTTGTCTTTGTGTATATCTATGAACCGTGTGTACCTGGTGCCTGAGGAGGGCAGCAGAGTGCATCTAATCCCCTGAAACTAGACTTATAAATGGTTCTGCATTGCCATGTAGGTTCTGGTACCTGAAACCACGCCCTCTAGAAGAGCAACCAGTGCTCTTAACTGCTGAGCCATTGGTGCAGCACTGATAAAAGCCTTTTAACAAGAATATGAGGTAGCACCTATCAGGTAGTTTTAGGTATGCTTACTGCAAAGCACTGAAGATAAGCTTATGAAGCAGACTGAGTTGATGGTCCAGAGAACTCTGAGCCATGGAAGATATATGTGCATTATGATGTGGGTAGTATTTGATAGTCACATCGCTGTAGAGGAGAAGAGTGACATAACAGTTACACTTTTGGATGGTTTACCTGATAGGACAGGATGTAGTGAAAGTGCTAACTATCAAAAGCCTAATTAGATGAGTATAAAAGTGATCAAGAAGAGAACTATCAGAATATTGAAACAGTCAAAGAAAGTTCCTCATGCGAGTGAGGGGAATGTGCTCAGTGGTAGAGTGCTTGCCAAACACGGGCAAGGCCCTGAGTTTGATCCTTAGCACTGTACAAAACTAAAAAAAATGGTGGATGGCTGCAAACATAATGAAACAATAGACAGGGAAAACACTTGTCATCTGGTTTCTACATTTATGAACGAACCAAGATAAAAAAAGAGTGTTGGATAATTATGCATTTCTGTCATATACAGAAAGAAGAAAGTACAAAAGAGAAATTACCTGAAGCAAAGAACAAAAAGGTCATTCTTGGTTGGGATAAGGGGGCCTGATCAATGCACTGCCAAAATGTTTCAAAAAAGTAACCTAACTGGAGTTTGTCAGCTTAGCATTGACAGCACCAAATCCTGGATACAGTGGGCATCCGCCAGAAAGAGGGGGAACACAAAGAAGCCATCCAAAGCCTACAATGCCCACAAGTCCTCAAGTGCGGGGTGGTGACGGGTATGTTTAGGAATTCGCTGTCTCTCAAACACTCAGACGCTGAAGGTGTGGCACCTCACTGAAACTGTTTATTGGAAGGCAGTGGACACTTTAGAGGGTACAGGTTAGTGGAAGATGTCACATCACTTGGAAGAATGCGCTCTAAGGAGGCACTGGAGCCAGCCTCCCACCCATCACCCCATGGCTTTTGGCCACAGTGAGGGAAGCTTCTCCTTCATTCTCAGTGTATTCCCCATCATAAAGGTTCTCTCTGCTTTACCTTGAGTATAAAAACAACAGATCCAGACAACCATGGAAACAAGCTGTTGAACAAAGCCCAGTATATCTAAAATACATTCAGAGTTACAGACAGACCCAGCAAAGTGCATTACAAGAAACCCAGAGAAAAGGTGGCACGAACAGAGCATCGAAACACAGAAAAATACAAGCAACTGCTGCAACCTTGGGGTCCTTGGAACTACTTAGCAGCTGAGAGTTATTTAAGAGGCTCAGTCACACAAGGACACTTCGCTTGAGAGGACAATATGCAGAGGATGGAGACAGGAGAAGTCAAAGAGGTCAGTAGTCTAAGTGAGTATTGACAAGGGAGGCGCAGGACCATATCTAACCATCCCATTCACTTCATGTCACATGCCCCAACCATCTGGTTAAGAGACCAACTGAAACCCTATCAGCTAATCAGTAAATAACAGAAGTTAGTAAGCGTCTTTACCTTCTTGTGGTTCTTGTAAACGTTTCTGTGAGCAAATCCCTTTCCGCAAAGCTTGCACTGATAGGGTTTATCTTCACTGTGGATTACTTTGTGGGCACCCACTTGATCAAGCCTCTTGAATGATTTGTTACAGATCTCACAGTTATAAGGTCGCTTTTCTGTGAAAAATGAGTAGAGACAATATCACAAAGGTCAAGGGCCGCCGGGTGGTGGTGGCGCACGCCTTTAATCCCAGCACTCGGGAGGCAGAGGCAGGCAGATCTCTGTGAGTTCAAGGCCGGGCTGGACCAATAGCCTCTGAAACAATACAGAGAAACCCTGTCTCGTAAAAACCAAAAAAAAAAAAGGTCAAGGGCCAAGGGGAAGCTGTCCTCCAATTACTTCTTATGCATAAACAAATTAAGGCATGGTCAGACAAGCACAAAAAATGTCTTTCATGTAGTTCATCTATGTTAGAAGTGTGAGTATTCACAAATGAAAATGCTTATTCTTTTCTATACATGTTTTGAAAACTAAACCTTTGAAATAAAAGTTTAAATTCAAAGCACGAATTCTGTTTCTACATGGAAAAATAAAAGTGTGTGTTTCAATCAAGTCGGAAATGCTGAGCGATCTGTCAGTGATGGAAGTAAGCACACAGGACCAGGCAGGCCCTATGTGGCAGAGCTTTCCATCTTCAGGAGCAGCCAAGCACTGAGTAGGTTTTAACATTCACATTCATGTACTAGGTATATAGTGCAAACAACCAAATGATTCTGTGCAAATCACACAAAGCACACCCGAAAGCCAATAGTTTTCCATCATTGACTTTAACTCACTAACACTATTCTTCCAAACCACAAAGATATTTTAAAGCGTGTATTTCAATATCCTCAAACTATAACCTGCCTAAATTCTAAGGATGCCATAAGGAAAAAATTATTTCAATACACTTTAATGTCTTAGTAAGTGAAAAAAACAAATAAAAATCTAATTCACAAAACTGTTTAAATGAACATACACCTTCAGAAATTTTTCTCAAAATATGTATTCATTTCTCTATTTTATTAGTACCATACCTAGATGTAAAAGTATCTGGATCTAGAAACATTATAAATCAATAATTGTTGAATCTCCACTAAATACACTAATATATTATGTAAATGACCTTATTTAACCTTCCAAGTTCTTTTGACAGCTGCCAGCATATCATGTCATACATTAAAAAATAATCAAACCAAAGTCCCAAATGAAACAGTGATTTTTGAAAGTCTTTCATATCCTGTAGCCAAACAACCTTTGCTTCATAACTAGACAATTAAGAACTTAGAAATCGCATGACTAAGCTAGAACTTACAGCCAGAGCTTCTGATTGCTCCTTTTCAGTTTCTTGAACAAGATGAAGTAACACTTTTGCAATGAATTCAGTATTTGTACTACCAGGTGGTGGTGGTGCAGACCTTTCATACCACTTGGGAGGCAGAGGCAAGCAGATCTCTTGAGTTATGAGTTTGAAGCCAACCTGGTCTACAGAGCAAATTCCAAGAAAGCCGAAGCTACACAGAGAAGCCCTGTCTTAAAAAACAAACAAAAACAAAAAACAAAAAGTGCATAGTTCACCTGAGTGAGTGATCATGTGACGTTTCAGCTGATTAGCAGAAATAAACTTTTTCATACATTCTTGACAATCAAATATCTCATGAATCTGAAAAAGATTGAATCGACAGATAACCAGTTATTAAAAAGTAACCTTTAATCCCAGTACTCGGGAGGCAGAGGCAGGGTGGATCTTTGTGAGTTTGAGGCCAGCCTCACTTAAAGAGCCAGTTCCAGAACAGACTCCAAAACAATACAGAGAAACCCTGTATCGATGTCTGCCAGTGACTGCCTTTTCCAGGTTTTCACAAGTGAGTTTTGGCTCACTAAAGAGTAAAATAATTAGAGGATGGTTTTGAAGCTCACATCTGCCATAGCATAGAATAAGGCTAGCTGACAAGCCTTGGATCTGTTGGCTTTTCCACATCCAGCCTCTTTTCTTTTCACTCTTCTTGCCATGGCCACTTGGAACCCAAGACAGCCTCATCCTCCCCTCATGTGCTCTATCTGTCATGCTGACAATTTCCTCACTGGCATCTCGTTATTCTGCAGTGACAGACACTCTGGGGTTTGACTTCTATACATCAGAGATTCATCCACACCCAGTTCTGAGCAGGGACAGATGGCAGTGTGGAGCCTGTGTAGGGCTGGTGGGAGAACTCAAAACAGAGTACCACAGGGCACAGAGGAAGGTCAGGCAGTCTCTCCCTGTCAAACGCCCACAGTGGGTGAAGCTAAATATGGAAGTTTAAGAAATAAGGGCAGGACATGAAACATTTATTTAAAGCTTTTATAATTTTATAATGATAAGATGGTTTAAAATGACAAATCTTCTGTGACATATAGAAGTGAAGACTTTATTGGTGGTATTCAGATTCTATTGCTATATGAAATGTTAAAAAGTAATGTATAGATAAAATAATCATTAAATAAAATACTGAAAACATCCTTTTTAATTTAATTTTTAGTTATTATAGTTTTTGAAACAATTTTCAAGGTTAAACTAATGAGATAAACTTCAGCATTTACTGCACATAAATCTCTTTGATTTTTTTTTTGCATTAACTCTCTTATTTATAGTGGAAAATTACGGCCAGAGATATTTTCATAACTTAGCAGACAAATGACAGGCAATACTGTTTAATTATACCTAAGAAAACCTGTTTTGTTAAATTTCCAATTTTTCCATGCTGGTTTTCAGGGTGATAATTTACTATTTGAATTGCTGAATAAAAATTGCAATGTACTTTATTACAATACGGGATAGTATACTGTGATATAAAAGACTGTACTGTGCTGTAATTAGTATTGTCACAAAGCACCATCTACTGTCAAGGGGAAATACTGCAACTACACTCTATTAGACATTAGAGATAGCCAACTAAAATAACTAATACTTTTGGACTTAACTAAAATTTCCCTTGTATACAGAAGGGCTTTGAGGGACTGCTCTAGAATAGAGAGAGGGAAGTCTACTTGCACTAACAATTTATTAAAATCCTGCAAATGTTTATACTTTGAAGGCACAGCTCTAACTTCTGTATTCTACCAACAGATAGGCTTTTTTCTACCAAGTTATTCTATTATTCTATTATAGACAAAGCCTCTATATTACTTTTTTAAAAAATGGAAAATAAGGAATTATTCAGAAATGGGCTCCATGACTAAGTTTGCTAAAACACTCTGTTAAAATATCTTAAACATCATCATCTAAGATTAAATACATTCAGGAAATAAATCATAGACTTTTAAATAGGGGTGTTTAGAAATACAAGCTCCGATATACTTTATATTTTTGCTTCAGACTCTATTTCCGAAGTCCTAGCATTAATAAGAGAGAACAAAAGAGATGTACAGGACCGTGAGACTCAGTGTGTAAAGCACAGTCTGCAAGCATGCAGTTGTAAGTTCAAATTCCCAGAACCCACATAAAAGCATGTCTGCAACACCAGTGTTCCTATGATGGTACAAAAGGCAGAGAAAGGAGGTCCCTCAGAAGCTCAGGAGCCAGACAATCTGGTGCTTGCACCAGAGAACCAGAGTCTGTCTCAAACAAGGCAGGTAGAGAGGACCAATAATGAAGACTGTCCCCCCTGGTGTCTACATGTGTCAACCAAGTGCATATGGCAGATCATAACAGAAAGCCTTGTGACCAATAGGCTCTCACTCACCTTCCTGTGCTCCTGCAGGCTTGACAATGAAGTGCACCTTCTATTACACACGGAGCATATGAGTTTTCTCTTAGGATCACCTAAGACAGGGATGAAACAGCATCATAGATTAACTGAGGTTGGCACAGTATCCCCTCTACAGGATTTCATCCTCATGATTTAGAATTCTAGGCTGTTATACTCAAGTCTTTCTTTTCAAACTTGAATGTCTCCAGATCACCAGTTTCTATATATATCAAATAATGTTTGACTTCTCCATCTGTTAAAATCGTCTTAGAACTGGGCGATGGTGGTTGTACACCTTTAATCCCAGCCCTCGGGAGGCAGAGGCAGGCGGATCTCTGTGAGTTCAAGGTCAGCCTGGTCTACAGAGCTAGTACTAGGACAGGCTCCAAAACAATACAGAGAAACCCTGTCTCGAAAAACCAAAAAAAATCATATTTAGAGAAAATGTTTCCACAAAATAAAATCAAATATGCTTTTACAAGAAAAAGTGAACATTATTAATTCATAAATTGATCTTTCCATCTCCTTTACCTTTCATTAAATGAGTTCCTTTCATTGTTATTCACAGACTATTCTTTCAGTAATCAATTCCTATAGAATTTGAGTTCATGCCTTATTAAATAAGCATTAATAAATAGTATAATATAAAATCAGCCACAGTAACACAGTAATACATTGGCGGTTCTTCCATCCTCCAGTAGACAGACAGATGGGTACCAGGGGCTTTTCTAGCACACCTCACCCTCTTCGAGACCCCTGACCCACAGCACTCAGACCCTTCCTGCCAAAGAATCCTGAGAGGGATCTAGAGGCAGTACAACGCAGTCAGCCAGCATTATCAGCTGGCATTCTAGTCTTCCACCCTCTGATAGAGAGAGAGACAGAGAGGAGAAGGTAGAGCCTTGAACCCATACCCACTAGGAGAGGGAGAGACCCCACGAATACCAACTGGAAGAATAGATGGGAAGACAACAGTATAAGAACACACCCAACAACAGACTTATATGACACCACCAGAGTCTAGGAATTCTACACCAACAAGACCTGAACATCCCAAAGCAGAAGAAACAGAAGAGAATGACCTTAAAAACATCATGAAAAGAGGATATAAGAAAATCCCTTAAAGAAATGGAAGAAAAAACAAACCAAAAAACACAAGAAATCAACAAATCTCTTAAGGAAAGCCAAGAAAAGACAATCAAACAGATGAAAGAAACAATTCAAACAGATCAAGACCTGAAAACTGAAATAGAGACAATTGAGGGAATGCTGGAAATTGAAAACCTGAGTAAATGATCAGGAACTAGAGATGGAAGCATAATCAACAGAATACAACAGATGGAACACAGACTATCAGGTATTGAAGATGAACTAGAGGAAAATCAACCAAAGAAAATCTTAAATCCAACAAATCCTTAACACAATATATCCAGGAAATATGGGACACCGTGAAAATACCAAACTTGAGAATAATAGGTATAGAAGAAGGGAAAGAAGCCCAGCTCAAAGGTGCAGAAAACATATTCAACAAAATGATAGAAGAAAACATTCCCAACCTGAAGAAGGACATGCCCACAAAAGTACAAGAAGCTTACCTAACACGGAATAGACTGGATCAAAATAAAAGTCCCCTCTCCACATAATAATCAAAACACCAAACATAAAGAATAAAGAAAGAATATTAAGAGCAGTGAAGGAAAAAGACCAAGTAACATATAAAGGCAGACAAACAGAATTACACCTGCCTTCTCCTTGGAAACTCTGAAAGCCAGAAGGACTTAAATAGATGTTTTACAAACACTAAGAGATCACAGCTTCCAGCCCGGACTACTATATCCAGCAAACCCTCAACCACTATAGATGGAAAAAACAAGATATTCCATAACAAAATCAGATTTACCCAATACATATCCGCAAATCCAGCCTTATAGAAAGTTCTGGAAGGAAGACTCCAACCCAAGGAAGTTAACTACACTCACAAAAACATAGGTAATAGATAATCTCATTTAACCAAAAGCCAAAAATAGGGAAAAACTCACACACAATACCACCATCAAAAACGAATCCAAAACAAACAAGAATAAACAACCAATGGTCATTAATAGTCCCTCAATATCAATGGTCTTTACTCACCTATTAAAAAAAACACAGGCTAAGAGAATGGATATGAAGACAGAATCCATCCTTCTGCTGCATACAAGAAACATGCCTCACCTTCAAAGACAGATGTTACCTCAGAGTTAAGGGTTGGGAAAAGATTTTCCAATCAAATGGCCCTAAGAAACAAGTGGGTGTAGTAATCCTAATAACTAAAATTTAGACTTCAAACTAAAATCAATCAAAAGAGATGAAGAAGGCGATTTCATATTCATCACAAGAAAAATTCATCAGGATGAAGTCTCAATTCTGAACATCTATACCCCAAATAGAAAATCACCCATACTCGTAAAAGAAACATTAATAAAACTCAAATTACACATTAAACCCCACATACTTATAGTGGGAGACTTCAATACCCCACTTTCACCAGTAGACATGACTACCAGACAGAAACTTAACAAAGAAACAAAGGAACTCACAGAAGTTATGACCCAATTAGGTTTTACAGACATCTATAGAAAATTCCATCCAAACACAAAGGAATATACCTTCTTCTCAGATCCACATGTTAACTTCTTTAAAGTTGACCACATACTTGGCAATAAAGCAAACCTCAACAGATACAAAAAAATTGTAATAACCCCCTGTATATTATCAGACCATCCTGCTTTAAAGTTAGAATTCAACAACAACACAAATTGAAGAAACTCCACAAACCCATGGAAATAGAACAATACTCAATTGTATCACTTCTGAGTGAAGGAAGAAATAAAGAAAGAAATCAAAGACTTCCTAGAACTCAATGAAAACGAAGGCACAACATATGGGACACTCTGAAAGCAGTTCTAAGGGGAAAGTCCATAGCACTAAGTGCCCACATGAAGAAACTGTAGAATAGCCACACTGAAGAATTAACAGTAAAACTGAAAGTTCTAAAACAGAAGAAGCAAATCCACCCAGAGAAGTAGATGCCAGGAAATAGTCAAATTAAGAGCTGAAATCAATGAAGTAGAAACAAAGAAAATAACTCAAAGAATCAATGAAACAAAGATTTGGTTCTTTGAAAAAAATCAACAAGATTGACAAAGATTTATCCACTCTAACCAAAAGACAGAGAGAACACGCAAATTAACAGAATAAGAAATGAAAAGCGGGAAATAACAACGGACACTGAGGAAATCCAGAGAATCTTCAGGTCATACTTTGAAAACATGTACTCGACAAAATTGGAAAATTTAAAGGAAATGGATAGATATCACTTACCAAAATTAAATCAAGAACAGATAAACAATTTAAATAGACCTGTAACCCCTAATGAAATAGAAGCAGCCACCAAAGTCTTCCAACTAAAAAAAGTGCAAGGTCACATGGTTTCAGCACAGAATTCTACCAGAAATTCAAGGAAGAGCTAATACCAAAACTCTTCAAATGGTTACAAACAATAGAAGCACAAGGGTCACTGCCAACTCTTTTTACCAGGCTCCAATTACCTTGGTATCAAACCAAGCAAAGATACAACTAAGATAGAGAATTACAGACCAATCTACCTCATGAACACTGATGCAAAAATACTCAATAAAATACTGGCAAATCGAATCCAAGAACACATCAGACAAATCATACACCATGATCAAGCAGGCTTCATCCCAGGGATGTAGGGATGGTTCAACATACAAAAATCTAACAATGTAATCAATCTGAAAAAGAAAAAACCACATGATCATCTCACTAGATGCTGAAAAAGCCCTTGACAAAATTCAACACCCTTTCATGATAAAGGTCTGGAGACATCAGGGATAACAGGAATAACATAATAAACATAATAAATGTAATTTACCATAAACTGACAGCCAATATCAAACTAAATGGAGAGAAATTCAAGGCAATTCCTCTAAAATCAGGAGCAAGACAAGGTTGTCCACTCTCTCCATATCTCTTCAATATTGTTCCTGAAGTTCTTGCTAGAACAATAATAAAACAAAAGTAGATCAAGGGGACACAAATTGGAAAGTAAGAAGTAAAACTTTTACTACTTGCAGATGATAATGATAGTCTACATAAGTGACCTAAAGAATTCTACCTACAGCTGATAAACACCTTCAGCAAAGTGGCAGGATACAAGATTAAACCAAAAAAAAAGAAAAAAAAGGAGTCCTACAATATTTACAGATAATAAATTTGCTGAGACAGAAATCAGAGAAACATCACCCTTTAAAATAGCCACAAACAACATAAAATATTTTGGGGTAACTCTAAACAAGCAGGTGAAAGACCTGTATGACAAGAACTTTGAATCATTAAGAAAAGAAATTAAAGAAGATGCCAGAAAATGGAAAGATCTGCCATGCTCTTGGATGGGTAAGATCAACATAGTAAAAAACAAACAAACAAAAAAAACCCGGCAATCTTATCAAAAGCAATCTACAGATTCAATGCAACCCCTATCAAAATTCCAGCACAATTCTTCACAGACCTTGAAAGGGCAATTCTCAACTTTATATGCCAAAACAAAAGACCCAGGATAGCCAAAACAACCCTGTACAATAAAAGAACTTCACCATCCCTGATTTCAAGCTCTACTCTAGATAGTAATAAAAACAGCTTGGTATTGGCACAAAAATAGACAGGCAGAATAATGGAATTGAATTGTAGACCCACGATATTAACACAAACACCTATGAACACCTAATCTTTGACAAATAAGCTAAAAGTATACAATGGAAAAAAGAAAGTATCTTCAACAAATGGTGCTGGAATAACTGGCTGGATCCTGGCATGTAGAAGACTGCAGATAGATCCATATCTATCACCAAGCACAAAACATAAATCCAAATGGATCAATGACCTCACCATAAATCCAGCCACACTGAACCATTTAGAAGAGAAAGTGGAAAGCACCCTTGAATTTGGTACAGGAGAACTCTTCCTGGCCAGTAGCATAGACACTGAGATAAAGAATTAATAAATGAGACCTCTTGAAACTGCTTTCTGTAAGACAAAGGACACAGTCAACAAGACAAAACGGCAACCCACAGAATAGGAAAAGATTTTCACAAACCCCACATCTGACACTGGGCTGATCTCTGAAATTTACAAAAAACTCAAGAAGCTAGCCACCAAAACACCAAACAATCCAATTAAAAATTGAGTTACAAAACTAAGTAGAGAATTCTCAATAGAGGAGTCTAAAATGGCTGATAGACAAGAAAGTGCATAACATCCTTTGCCATCAGGGAACTGTAAATCAAAACAACTCTATGTCAGAATGGCTAAAATAAAAAACACCAATGACAGTTTATGCTGGAGAGGATGTGGAGAAAGGGGAACACCCCTCTACTGCTGGTGGGAGTGCCAACTCATACAGTCACTTTGGAAATCAGTATTGAGATTCCTCAGGAAAATGGGAATCAGTCTGCTACAAGATCGAGCAATTCCACTCTTAGTCATATACCCAAAAGTTGCACATTCATATAATAAGGACATCTGCTCAACTATGTTCATAGCAGCATTATTTGTAATAGCCAGAACCTGGAAGCAACCTAGATGCCCCTCAACTAAAGAGTGGATAGAGAAAATGTGGTACATTTACACAATGGAGTACTACTCAGGAGAAGAAAACAAGGGGATCTTAAAATTTACAGGCAAATGAATGGCACTAAAATAAGTCATCCCGAGTGAGGTAACCCAATAACAAAAAAAAAAAAAACATGTATGTACTCACTCATATATGGATTTTAGACATGGAGCAGGGGATTGCCAGCCTACAACCCATCGCCAGAGACTCTGAGAAACGGGGAGGACCCTAAGAGAGATATGCATGGTACCCTGGAGAAGGGGAATGGGACAGGATCTCCGAGCTGATTGGGAGCAGGTGGGGAGGGGAGAGGAAGCTGTGAGAAACACAAGGGGAGAAGAGAAGGGGAGAGGGGAGTATGGGGGAGCAAGAAGGTTGAGTCCGGGAAGAACAGAGGAGAACAGGATGAGAGATACTATAATAAAAGGAGCCATTGTAGGTTCGAGGAGAGATCTGGCACTAGTGAGATGTCCAGAAATCTACAAGAATGACACCAATTGGCAATCTAAGCAATAGTGGAGAGGCTACCTTAAATGCCATTCCCCAATAATGAAATTGTTGACTACCTTATATGCCATCCTAGAGACTTTATCCAGTGGCTGATGGAAGCAAAGGCAGACACCCACAGTTAAACACTGAACTGAACTCCTGGAACCCAGTTGCAGAGAGGGGGAAGTGATGAATAAAGGGACCAAGACCAGGCTGGTGAAACCCACAGAAACAGCTGACCTGAACAAGGGAGAGCTCATGGACCCCAGACTGATGACTGAGAGGCCAGCATGGGACTGATGCAGACCCCTAAATGTGGGTGTCAGTGAGGAGGCCTCAGCAATATTACCTCTGGTGTAAGAATGGACTTTGGGAGCCCATTCCACATGGAGGGATGCCCTCTCAGCCTGGACACATGGGGAAGGGCCTAGGCCCTGAGCTGGAAGATATGACACACTCTGGAGATCCCCCATGGAGGGCCTCACCCTCCCTGGGGATTGAAGGGGAGTTGGAGTAGGGGGGTAGAGAGGTTGCTGGGAGTGGGAGAGAAGGGGAGGGAGAGGGAGCTGGGATTGACATGTGAAGCAAGCTTGTTTCTAAGTTAAATAAAAATAATAATAATACATTGGCAATCTACACTATTAGAAAACCAAACCAAGACTAAATTTTGTCTACTTTTACAATGATTATATTTCATATTTCAAACTTCACAGTGACAAAAGAAAAGAGTTAAAAGAATCTCAAAATGCAACGTCATAACCATACTATCTGTACCAACACAACTTCAAAATGATATTTAATAATTTTAAATGATTGATGTAAAAACTCCCAAAGTAAATTATTTAGCATAATGCAGCACCCTGTGTCCATCATGTCACCCAAACAAGGTGAGAGAATCCTGTATTCATTTCACTCCAACCTCAGGGACATGCACCTGGGACACAAAAACTAATAACACTGTGTTGTTTGATTATATTGTATAACTATGTATATGAAAAGAAAGCAAACCTTTAGAAAAAGAAAAGTAGGAGTTTTCATCGTGCTTCTCAAGATAACAAGATATTCATGGTAATAGCATGCAAGTTTAACATGTTGAAAGCACTCTACAGACTACACAGCCAAGAAAATTTGTTTGATGATGACAACAGGGATTCAAAATACCAACTTTTCCCACAGAAAGATTAACATTAGCCCGCATGTACTTGTTCATCAGTCTGTATAAATATATTGCAGAAAGATCACCGAGAAAAAAAACATTCCATCTTTCCAACACCCATTGTCTCGGATGTCCACCTTCCTGGCACAGTACTACCAGACCTCTTCTTGAGTCCAGGTCCTGGTCTTCCCTTAAAGCAGGTAAAAGGATTGAAGAAGAGAGGAAGAGTTTGACATCTCCCCTCCTACCATTCCATTCTACACTTGCCTTTGCTTTGGTACCAATCTCCATTCCCTACTCTCTCTTCCTCACGTCTTTTTTTCATCTTTCAGCTGGAATACTGGATTCATGTAGAGAAATATAGAAACAGCTTATGAGGATACAGAAAAAAGTTATTTCTCATAAACACCCCTTTGTGTTGGCATCCACAGAGTTCATAGACTTTTGCCTTCCTATATTCAGGAATACATGGTTTGTAACTTTCAGGAGATGGGGATATGGTGATATAGTTCAGTGGGTGTGCAGTGTCTTGGGTTAAACCATCAGTGCCAGGAAATCAAACAACAATAACAAATCACAGAGACAGTCACAGAAGCAAGCGATGGTCATGAAAGCCATATAACCACACTTACATACACACTGTGTGCTATTGTTTCTACAAAAAGCAAAGTGGGTCCATCTCTAAATATCCAGTTTCTCTCTTCCTCTACCTTCTCCAGTGCATCACCTAACAAGGGCATGCTTCACCATCAGTCAGTATAGAAGTAACAAGATTTCCTCGTTCCTCGAGTATCCCTGTTCTTACACAGAGTCCTCAGCCACAGCTGAGTGCTACTTTCCTTGCTATAATAGGAAGTACTCTCCCAATCATGGCTACTTTAGAGAAAAGGGGAGAAGCATAAGACAGCCTGTGGATGAGAAAATGAAATCATGTACCAAACCAAATAAGACATGTACATGGAGACCTAAGCTAAAACACAGCAGCTTCCACATCTTATCATGACCTGCAACATTGGACAATGATGATGAAACAAAATCTTCATGTATAAATTGTTTCCTGCAAAATTACCACAAATGCCCAAGCTGCAATAGTAAGCAACCCAAGGCCAATTACAAGAAGACTCAAAAAATTACTCTATAAGCACAGCAGGAAGACCATATGCCTAGTTATGAGGACAGAAAAGTTTCCAGAGTTGTAGCATCCATCTGGCTTTTTACTTAGTTCAGCAAAGTTGACTTTATACTGACATAAAAGTTTGGTTAAAATACATTGCAGACAAAGATGGAGAAAATTAAGAACAGCATTTTAGCCAAAATAGCATTAAGGAGAAAAATGAAGGCAAATCTGTTGAAAAATTATGCCTGCTTCTGCCATCATATGAAAAGCACCAGCATATTTCAAATTCAATGGGGGAACTCATTTTCTATATACCAGACATATGTTCTTCAAAAAGAAAGACACAAAGCAACACTGGGAAGTCTTGATGGTTGGCATCCCTGAAGGCTGGTTCACAAAGCTTCACATCGAGTCATCAGAACATTGCTCATGGCTTACACTGAGCAGGCCCAGTCAGTGATGAAGTAAGGCTGGCGGGCACACTCATGCTAACTTCTTGTCACCTTATTATTAAAGGCCGTTATTTTCAGGCAACAGATGTCCAGATGCTGGGTATCAGTCACTCTTTTCACCTAATTGTGAGAATAAACAAGAAGGAAGAAAAGAGTTTCCTCCCTATCCAATGGTTCATTTCTACCCACTTCCAGAAGTGGCAGGTAAAAGTTAATACAAGAGAAAAATACATGCACAGAATGACATGATTTCCTTGGGTCTTGAACTCCTTTACAAAACAGACAGCAAAGAAGAGAAAAAGTCCCACAGTGAATCAGCTATCACAAACCAAATTATATTCACTGATGGATGAGAAAGTACCAAGGACAAAATCCTAGGTGACAATCAATTGTTATATTTGTTTCCTAGGTGACAATCAATTGTTATATTTGTTTTACTGTTTGGCTGGTGATTACAAGGAGTTAAGCAAGTGTTTGCTGAAAATTCAAATATTTTCAACTCCGTGACAAAATACAAACACTAAAGAAATACAAACACTAAAGGCACTGAATGTTCCTGTAAAATATTAAGACAGAAGTACATCACTTCACAGTTTCAAAGTACCTACAAACCATCAATTTCAACAATGTGTGAAAAACAAAATTTATACACTAAAGCAGTGAAGTGGTCAAACAGTATACCTGAGTGACAAAAACAGCTAAGTGTGAGCTTGGTTTACAGTAGTGATTAATTCTGACATGGGGAAAATAATAAACGCTGCTGAAATCAACTTCAAAAATAGTGTTCAGTGAAAACATACAAGCAGGTAAGAGATGTGCATCGATGGGAAGCACGATGGGAAGCCAGCTCCCTCCTCACAAAAGAGAATTTAAAAGAGACCCCATGACCTGGGGAGAGGGAGCCCAGTTAGAAAGGACTGTCTGATGCCTCCTCACCAGTGTGGACATTTTCCTGGTGCCTTTTCAGGGCGTCCTTGCTTTTCAGCCTCTTCCCACAGCTGTCGACCTTGCACACAAACCTTGCATCCCCTCGGCAAGCCTTCTGGTGTTGCTCAAAACTATAAGACAAGTAGCAAGGGGAACAGAAGACATAATGAAGACATACCTACAGACTTTAAACATCACAGCAGGCTTCTGTAAGCCATGCCTCCTAGGACATTCTTCCTGCAGGAGTCTCGGGGTCATCTCAAGCTTTAATTACGTAGATAAGAAAGAAGTACTTAAATTCTTCAGTTTACTTAGTATAATGCTAACTCCAAGTATGAAAATATGTATGCAAAGATGATCTGCTAATTTGTAAAAGTCACTTTATAACTAGACACTAGACCTCAGTGCTGACCTGAAATTATTGCAGATAGAACAATGAACACTGGAGAAGCCTTTAGGCTGCATCTGGCTGCTCAGTGAACATGGAGAAGGGAGGGAAGAAGGCCCGAGTGCTGAGTTATGCTCTCATCCTCCTCCTGACACCCTGCCTTTAGTCTGCTACATTTTTAATGGTGCCTTATTTAGCTCTAAGATATGGCTCAAAATATAATATGGTGCAATAAAATACATATAAAAGCTAATAGAATACAGGCTATAAAGTTAACTTATTAAAAGGTTTGTAACTCGTGCTTGACTTTTTTTAAAGGAGTTAATAAAATCTCTAAGTGCTTAATCCATCCTAAAGGTATCATCTTTTCTAAAGATTTATTACATGTAAACAAATTTATTTTCAAATTTCATAAGTAAAAGCTGATACATATAATGTATAAGTCATATCTATATGTAGATAACAGATGGACAGACAGATAGACAGACAGAATTGAACAAAATGAAAAATGAACAATAAGCCTGGAAGATGTTTTACTCCTGTAAGGTGACAGTCTGCTAAGTATAGAAATTTATAGTCTCTGTATATTCTCTCACTATTGGTAAGTCTGATCTTACAAGGTGTTAAAATAGAGGCTAATTTTATACGGTGTGAACATAAGTGATCAAGATGATGTGAAGAGTTAACTCATGTAATTCACTGCACTGTCACCTATGCTCTATTCATCTTCAAACTATTCTTACAAGTCACTATGAAAGTGCTTCCTATCCATTTACTATTTCTACATTGAAGTAGTCATTACTTAAACATCTTTAAAAGAAGTAAGAGAGCAAATAAGTGATACTCAGTAAATAACATCAATGTAATGGCTAAACTGTGTATATGTAAATTCCAGAATAGGAAATAAGTGTAATATTTAGTGGCAAGTATGAAACAGAGAAGAGCTAGCATAAATAGTTGTCAAAACTCAGTAAGACACACTCAGAAAAGATGAACTCATGCTTCCCTTCACTTTCCCACACAGGCATCGCTACGTGCTCACACACAGAGACACACATATTCAGTGCAACGTCAGGCAAAGTGAACAGTCGAGCATCTGTTCGTAAGCTGAAACGCCCTGAGCATACGCACTGTCTCTGCAAGGCCTGCCTCACAGGGAACTTCTTCCCACAGCTCTCGCACTTGAACTCTTTCTCCCCCGTGGGTTTCTGGTGGAAGGTCTGACGGTGTTCACTAAGGATCTCCTCACTGGAAAAGCTCGATTCACACTGTGGACAGGCATAGTCCTCTTCAGAGTGACCTGTGCAACATTACACCAGAGTTCACAAGCCAGGAACTAGCTCTGGCCCTCATTTCAAAATCAATTTACAGTCAAACTTTATTTTATCTAACAAATATAAACATTACCTACATCGAATGGAAAACAAAAATGTTATCAGAAAAACTATCTTAAAAATCATTTTAGTATGCTTCACAGAAGCAATACAAAATCAAATTTGATCTCTAGTTTCCCTTTTAAAGTTAATGTTTCAGATCAGAAATGATAACAAATGCTGAGCGCAAAGCAAAACTTTTCCTAGAAAATGGGTCATCTTCAGGGCTGACTGGGGCTGGTGCAGCGGGTGAGGCACCCCATTCCACATGACAGGAAGAACTCCACCCAAGTTCTTCACGGTGCCGTTAATACTATATAGTTTTGACTGATTACCCAGTAAAATGAGCATTAAAAGGTAGTAAATGTGAAAAAATTAAGTAATGAATATTGGCACCCTGAAGACACAGCTGGTGCATGCCAAAGCTACATGTGTTCAGTCTGTGAAGAGCAAAGTAATGCTTTATGTCCACTTTCCCATGCTGCTCTTTTCCCCACTTCTAATTCCAAGTCATTTCCATACTTAAGGTGTCACATCATGTTATCAAACTCTACTCTGGTAAACTTATGGGTGGCATCTTTGTCTCTTTTGCTGGGGTTTTGTTTGTGGGGTTTTTTTTTTTTACTTGGTTATGCAGTACAAATGGAGTAGGGTGGTCTTGAGCATATACCTTCACCCTGTGCTTAGCACATGTGGCATATGTGTTTCTTTTTTTTTTTTGTGAAACTGTTTTATTTTTTTTTTCCAGTTTAAATTTAGATAAGAAACGAGGTTGCTTCACAAGTCAGTTCCAGGTCCCTCTCCCATTCCCTCCCCTCCTCTCGTGCCCTCCCCCCAACCCCCCCCCGTTATCCCCTCATTCCCCCAGGGAGGGTGAGGCCCTCCATGGGGGTGTCCATAGTCTGTCATTTCATATAGGGCAGGGCCTAGACCCTTCCCCAAGAGTTCAGGGTGAGAGTGCACCTCACATTGTTCTATGGGGGTCCAAAGTCCGTGCATATACTTGGGATGGGTACTGATCTGCTGCCCAAGGCTCAATAGATTCCCTAGGCCTCCTCACTGACACCCAGATTCAGGGGGTCTTGATCAGTCCCATGCTGGCTTCCCAGGCTGATGCCTGGGATTCAAGAGTTAACCTTTGTCTGGTCAGCTGTTTCTGGGGGGTTAAACCAGCCCAGTCTTAATCCCTTTGATCACCAGTCCTCCCTCTCTGTTACTGGCTTTCTTGAGTTCAGCTCAGTACTTAACCAAGGGAGTCTGCCTCTTCTTCGATCAGCCACTAAATGAAGTTTCTGTTTCCCAGACTGTCTGCCCATGGGATTGTAGGCTGGCACTCCCCAGATCTATGTCTAAAATCCATATATGAGAGAGTACATGCCATGTTTCTCTTTTTGTGACTGGGTTACCTCACTCAGGATGGTTTCTTCTAGTGTCATCCATTTGCCTGCGAATCTCATGATTCCATTATTTTTTTCTGCTGAATAGTACTCCAGGGTTTTGGTTTTTTTTTTTTTTTTGTATGTTTCACTTTTGCAAACAAGACAGAGGTCAGACAGCAAATGTGCTGATCCTTCATCTTGAACATTCCATACAACAAAACACTGAAGAAGAAACCTTGGGTTGTCGAAAAGAACGCACTGCAGTCCAAGCGGATGAAGACACAGTGTGCTGCAACAGTGCTCTTACCATTTCCCTCAAATTTTCTTCAGGGCACAATACAAGGCCCAGCAATAATTTGACTATTTCACATCTGTTCCTGGACTGCAGGTTTCACCTATGGTCACCTGAAGCTACTAGTCCCCAAACAAGGACAAACTAGCAATCCTGCCTGCTCCTGTGACCAGGATACAAGTAGCCTGCCAGAAGGTCTAGATTCCAGAAGATCTCATAAGACGGAGCACAGGAACCATTTGTCCAGGACACAGCAGGACCACCTTGCACATCTGACCTCTGCAGGTGTACATGAGATTAATCCCTCAGAGCCTGGGCGATCTTTTTACTGGTTCAGCATTTTAAACTGATTATTGGCAGAGCCAGTGGAGGAGTAGACAGTCCTTTACTGTGTTACCACACTGACGACAAGAACCAGAGCTGGCCACCCCGCTACCTTGGCCATCCTACAAGACAATCGCTACTTAGCTTGAACAGTCTTTTGCTACTATTGAGCACAGTTTTGACAAAAACTATTTTAATAATACCATGTCAAACACGCAAGTATAATTCAAGTAATTCAAACTACCTTCCTCTTCAATGTCTCTTCCTTGAGATCACCAAATGAAGATGCAGTACCTTTGCTTGCAGCTGCCGACTGTCCCTTAGAGTGCTCAACTTTGCCTTCTTTGGTCACGGTCAGAGATTGTTGCTCCTCCTCCTCTGTCTCAGCATCACTGTCCAGGTAGCCAATCAGAAGCTCTGTATCAGTTTCAATATCATCAACTGCCAAGTAGAAAATATTTTCTCCTTCCTGAAACACATTTTAGAAATGCTAAGGCACCATTCATTTTAAGATATATTAGCCGGGCATTGGTGGCGCATGCCTTTAATCCCAGCCCTTGGGAGGCAGAGGCAGGCGGATCTCTGTGAGTTCAAGGTCAGCCTGGTCTGCAGAGTGAGTTCCAGGACAGCCTCCAAAACAATACAGAGAAACCCTGTCTCGAAAAACCAAAAAAAAAATAATAATAATAATAATAATGCACACCTGTCAGCATCAGGAATATGGAAACAGGATGATCAGGGGTTTAAGGTTAGGCTAAGATACACAGTAAGGTCAAGGCCAGCTTAGGCTACAAGAGACTTTGTCTCAAATCACAAACAAACAAGCATATAGATAAATACTATAATGAAATAATGGAGGACCATGGGTCCATGAAAAGTTACTATTACTTCTTCTCTATATCTAGTTGATTTTTAAGTTAAAAAAATTCAAGTGACTGGTCAAACAAAATCCAACTATATACAAATTATTAGATGACTGACTGCATATGAATTGTATTTATAAATATGTAAGTATGTATTAGTGATTTCATACTAATACTAATACTACATATAAAATTAGAAGAGAAAAATTTCATCTTCTGATACAAAATAGAGGAAATATAAAAAAATTCTTTTCAGAGAGAATTTCTAAGGAGTAGAAGGAGAAATACCAAAGACACTAGACACAGGAAATTTACAGTATCAATAGTGACCCTGTACACCTCACTTCTTTGGCCTTGCTAATCCTACAGATATGAGTGAATGCAGAAGAAAAGAACAGAGGCACCAGCAGCACACCTTGTCTTTTTTTGTTAAAGGAAATTCTAACAGGCAGGGATCAGTAACAGCTGAAATGACAACTTCTCTGGAGGAACCCCTCCCCCCAACCAAGCAGACACACAGGAGGAACATTGCAGAACCTAAGGAATTCCCAGAGAACTTTCCCCCTTGGAATAAAATTAGTATAAAATGCCACCCTGGGCCTTAGGTCAATCTCCAAGGAAGCAGTCCTGGGGTTGCAAGGCCAGCTTGCCCAGGAGCAATCTCCCAGAGTAGATTTTCTCACATAGCTGAGAAGCCTCCCTAGTCTGCCTGGTGAAGATAAACAGAAGAAACAAAATGAATTTATTGAAGCCTCCTCATGGGCAAAATGAGGAAAGAGCAAGGAAAATATGTTCCACTGAGGAATAAAATTCAATAAAGCACAGAGCCCAGAATGAAGCCGTCATTAGTTTGACAACACATTATGTGCTTAAATTGAAGTGCCCAGGGCGAAAGAAGTGGGGGGAAGTATTTCTCAAACTTCCTACTGCTGTGACCTTTAAATACAGTTCTTCATATTGTGGTACCTCCCAACCATAAAATAATTTTCAATATTACTTCATAACTATAATTTTGTTACTGCTATTAAGTATAATATGAATATCTGTGTTTTCCAATAGCCTTAGGGGAACCCTGTGAAAGACTTATTGAATACTCCCCAAAGAGGTCACAACCCACAGGTTAAGAACTGCTGGTTTAGATGCAAAAGTATAGTCTACACAAGCAGAAACCCCAGAAACTATTAAAAGTTCATACACGTATTTTTAGGACTGGAAAGGAGCTACTCCATATGGTTTTGCTTGAGCTCCTTCAACTACCTCCCCTACCTCCTACCCTGTTGTTGTGACAAATAGATAACAAAAGCAACTTAAGGAAAGGAAGGTTTATTCTGACCATTTGGAAATTTAATCCATCACAGTCCAGGAAGTCATTGCTCTGGGAGCAGGAGGCAGTGATCACATGGCAGCTGCAGTCAGGAAGCAGATAATAGAATACTGTGCTCAGCTCCATTTCTTGTTTTTATCAAGTCTAGGAACTCAGATTATTATAATGGTGCCTACCCACATATAGGGTGAATCCTTCCATGGGACTCAGTTGAATCTCCCCCAAGTTACCCTCACAGACACGTGTACGTGTTTCCATGGTGGTTAATGTTGACAATGACGATAATGAAAAAGGTTTCGCTATACAATTCTCCTGGACCTGGGTCCCACGTGCTAAGATTATAAGAGTGGACCATGAAGTCCAATTTTGCTTTTAAGTATATTTTGTAATTTAAAATGCCAAACATATATTTAGAGTGTCCCCTGGAGAAAAACAGAAATGAGTATCGTTTTTCACCAATATGAGAGAGAGAAAACACAAAGATTCTCGATCTGTGTTTGGTCACAGTTGATAACACCATGTTTCAGACCATCCACACCTCCAGAAACACAGTTCTTTATAATTAGAAAACTGAACCAGTTTGTATAAACTACTACACTTGATGTAACACAAAGAAAGAAACAAAAAGACACAGTCAGCAGAAGAAATTAAATCAGAGCCAGGCCTTCCCAGGTTCAGTTTCTGCGATCACTTGAAGACTTGCCTAATGGAGGCGGCAGACACAACCATAAATCTTAGTGTTTATCTGATCTGCATGCATGAAAATTAATTGAAACCACTTTCTGGCACATTAGTCATTTCGTGATGACTTGAAAAGCAGTAGATAATCTTTAATTTTAAAACATGACAACATAATATTAAACTATAACTTTAAAGGATGCATGCTTATTGGGAGGTTCTGTAATGAAATTGGGGTTTAATATTTACTAGACTTTTAATAAAAAACAATGGCAAACCTGAAGTGCTTGACCACATTATAATATAAAGTGAAATGCAGTTACAGGGGTAACACACATCTATTGAAGGAATGGGAAAACCCTTCTTTATATAATTCATACTATAACCAAGACCTAGAGTCTCTTCCTTTGCGTTTATAACTATGAGGTTAAGATCACACTCTTAAATCTCTTCCCTGCCCATCATACAATTGGGATCTTACATGTCTCACACACTGGCATGTGATCTTAAATGTGCCACACTCTAACATGTGATGCTGTTAAGAGAGGGTGGATCCTTTAGAGGGTCGGTCTAGTCATAGAAAGCTGACTAGGGTATGCCTCGAAGGGACCACCTAGACTCTGGACCCTCCAGTCCCTTCTTTTGCTTCCAACTCATGTTCCTTACCACATGTTGCCTTACCAAAGGTGACAGACCAATGCCAACCAACAGGAACTGAACTTGTGGAGCAAAATGAACCTAATAGCTACACTGTACTAATTTTTAATGTCATAAGAATTCCTGTAACTTTCATTTTGGTATTATTATTCCCTTTCCAAGCTCTGTCAGAACCTTCAGGTGACTAATTTCTGGAGCCCTGAGGAGCTATTTTCCTAACCTGCAGGTTCACTCAATCTTATCATCTCTTGCACTGCAGTGGGAAGGACAAAAAGAGCACAGATGGAGGGAGACAGAGAGATGACTCTGCAGCTAACAACCACCTACCACTTCAGACCTAGAGGACCCAATGCCTTTGGCCTCACAGGCACTTGCACGCACATAAGTACATGTTCACACTCAGATACACACACACACACACAATGACTAATAAAATATTTATTTTTTAAAGAAGTATGGCTCTAATGCACTGAGACACAACATCAACTCCCTAGTATCAGTATGCCTGTCTGACATTCTGAACCTCATAATATTTCTTTACATCCATTATTTCTCATCATGACTTAGTCACATGACCATAGTCCTTCCTTGCAGGAATCCTGCCTGCTATTTATATTTTGGGAATTCACTTTCTTGGGCCTCAACCTTAGTGCTAAGTCACTGTTTGTGGTCTGCCCAAAGCTTCAGGTGATAGGGCCAGAAATTTATAAAGTTCTTCAAGACCATACTCTCCTCAAAGGGATTTGCAAACTATTAGCTTTCCCAACCTAATAGACACATGACATAGCAATTAGCTTTTAACTGTTACTCATCTCTTCCATTATTGCTCATAGCTTTGAATGTTTTGTGTCTCTTCACATCTTGCTTGACTTTATTTGAACATGATGTTTGGCAAATTACTTTTCCTATAAGCTATCTACAGTATCAAAATGTTGCAATACCCTAAATGCCCAACCAATCAAAAAGTTACATGTCTAACAACTAGTTTTTAAAGATTTATCAACCCCTATTGCTATGCAAAGAAACAAAGACATAGATTACATAGATACAGATATCAAAGCCAACATGTCTGTGTTGGCTAATTTTATATCAATGTGACACAAGCTACAGTTATCTGAGAGGAGGGAATCTCAGTTGAGAAAATGTCTCTGCACAATCAGACTGCAGGCGAACATGTAACACATTTTCTTAAATGTTGGTTCATATGGCAGGGTTCAGATCATTGTGGGTGGGGCCACTCCAGGGCAGGTGGTCTTGGGTTCTGTAAGAAAGCAGGCTGAGCAAGCCACAAGGAGCAAGTCAGTAAGCAGCACTCCTTCGTGGCCACTGCATCAGCTCCTGCCTGCAGGTTTGTGTCCTTTCAGAGTTCCTGTCTTAACTTCCTTCAATGATGAACAGTAATGCTGAAGAACACAGCAAACAAATCCTTTCTTCCCCAAGTTTTTGTTTGTTTGTTTGTTTGTTTGGGTTTATTTTTTGTTTTTGTTTTTTTGGCCATGGTGTTTACCACAGCACTATTTATCTCTCACTAAGTCAATGTCTAAAACATTAAGAGACATGTATAAATGGGCGCTTGGGTTTTTTTGCCATTTTTTATTTTTTAATTTAATTTTACATTCCAACCACAGTTCTCCCTCCCACACCTTCTCCCACCCCTACTGCCCCCCTCCCAGTCCACTCCTCCTCACAAGTAAGGGCTCCCATGAGGAGACAACACAGTCTGATATGATAGGTTGAGGCATGGCATGGACCCTCTCCCATGCATGAAGGTTAAGCATGGCAACCCACCATAGGGAATGGGCTCCAACAAGCTAACATGCATCATGGTTCTACTGCCAGTGGCCCCTCTTATAGTCCAAGTTTCACAACT